ATAGGGCAGGGAAGAGTCACAGTCATCCTCTCCAACGTCCAGGGAACATCATGGGGTGGTAAGGACGTAAGCAGAAGAGGATGTGGAAGGGGCTGTGAAAGCTGTCTTCTGTATGGGACATGGCTTCTGTTCCCTGGCACTGCTGGAACTCACAACAACAATGCCAATCTACAGAAGTCCTATGTATGACTAGACCGAGGAGCATAAGGCCACACCTCACCCTGAGGAAGCAGAGGCCATTAGTGGTTTCTCAAAGGGGGAATCTTGCAGCTGGTGAGTCTCTCTGGCCAAAGTGAATAAGCTCCCATTGACACTGCCCTAACTGAATGCAGTGAGCCATAGACAACAGCCAAAAAAAAAAAAACATACAAGTAGGAAAGGGGCTTGTGGGAAAAAACACCTAGAGATAAAAAAAAAATAATATAATAGGGTGTGTATGATAAAAGTACATTGCACGCAAGCAATTATAAAAGGAATATTTTAAGGAGAAAAGAAAACAAAAGAAGAAAAGAACTTTGTGAACCTACATGATCTATAAAGCAAATACAATAACAGCTGAGTGAAGGGCCAATCAATAGAAAGAGCACTGTAGCCACAAACACAAATTGGAATTTCCGATAATCACATTAAAAAATTTCCAAAGCATGAGCCTGAAGCTAAGCTTCCGTGGAGAGCTGAGAAGCCAGAATTGCACTCTTAAACAGCATCTAGGGGAGTAACAAAAGAGACACAAGGAGAATGATGACTGTATTTGTAAAAGCAATTCAATATTTAGAGAGCAGTCAAGGCATCTTTCCAGGTTTCAGTCCTAGGAAGGCTCTAACCGTGGAGAATAAAGAAGACCTCTGACTTGCTCATTGCATGCATTTTGTTGTTAGCTCGGAGACATTTCGACCATTGTTTACTCCACTGAAGTGGTAGTATAGGGAATCTTAGGAGTGTTTCTATGGACAAGGACACTTTCTTGTGCTCTGCTGTGCCCTCCCTCACCATTACTGTCATCTTAATTGCTGTGATATAGACCAATGTGGGCATCTGTCTGTGAAAGGATATGAACCGGCTTTATGAGACTTAATGCAGCAAAATATGAAACCGTTTGCCGCCGAAAGGATAATGTCTGGTTTATTGTCTCTCCGAATTCCAAGTTAAGGGGCATTGGCAGTAAGTTATGTTGTGCTGGCATTGTAGCGTTGAATGATAACATCGCATTTTAACTGATTTTACAATGCTTTAAGTTGTTCTTTATCGTTCCCAAGTTGTAATGTTAAAAAGATGTATTTATCATCTTTCCTACCATCATGTTTTCCTTTGTCAAGCCCTTTCTGCAACCACATTCCTATTACTAAGTTTGGGGAGGAGCTGGACTAACCACGCTCGCCTACAGCTCCCCTTTCTTTCTCTGCACTCACAGTGGAAGGAAAAGAAAAGGCAGGTACCATCCTATGACTCTGAGTTTATAGTTCTCACTTCCCGAAGGAGATTTTACCAAGCACCCCAAGCAATCGGTCTATTGGGTGGTACAAACATTTGGTGGGCACACATTAACCAGAGGGCAGAACCTTTCCCGCCTCCTCTGCCATCCTTAATCAGGGACCATTTGCTCTGCAAATAAGTATTCTGCACTGTTCATCTACTAAGTGGCTTAGGAGAGCCCCCTTCTCTCTGAACCTCTAATAGATAAGTCATCCATTTGTTTTGAGGCCCTAAACTTTCCTCTGAGCCTGTGCCATGCTATATTTTTATGGTATTGAATACAATGAAAGAAAGTGTTCTAAAACGATACTGGAAGTTTATAGAAGGTCATAAGTCAAAGACAGGACAAATAGCACATTATAATGTCTTGGTTGACCAGGCCTGCTGTGAAACTGGTACCCAACATTGTGAGTGTTGTCCTGCACTCTGCATGCCAGTGACCTGCTGCACATATAATCCCACCCCTTAGGAACCTCCACCCTCCAAGTAAGCCTTGTGTTCCTTCCCCTCAGCCTTTGTGACTCACTTGTCAAGTAACATGTTCTTTCTTTATTCAGAAAAGCCTAACGTCTTTTTACAGAAGTACTTTAACATGGATACAAGTTGAGGCAAATGTGAAAACCAAGATTTAAGGAACCATTTAAATGAATGCATGTATTTCTTGTTCTGTAGTGGAAGGTCCCGCCTCGTAGAGAAAGTGTTCTGCTTATAAACCAAACGATTCACAGCGATATATTTGGGTTAGTGGTCCTTTATGCTATGCTGACCCCACATTCTGGAGCCCATATTAACTACACAGTGAAAAGAAAAATCACTGAACATTAGTGCTTTGCTTTCGGTTGCTGGAGAAACTGAGCAATCCCCATGCACATTATGAAGTTTAAGCAATGACAACACAAGATAACTCAGACAATATACAAAACTGCTACACGCAGTGAGATTTGACAAATATTAGCTATTTTCAGGTTTGTTGATAGATGTAACAAACCTGTGTCTTAGCAGGGATATGTATGAGCTTGCTTGCTCCAGGCTTCTTACTGCCCTCTTTGGATATGATAATAGAACATGATTAAAGAGAAGTGATTAGGGAATTATTGCTAAATTAGTGTATGGTAAAATATTTAAGAAGTGGGATAAAGCATTCTGGGGCTTGACTTTGCATGTTCAGTGAGGTAGAGGCATCATACAAAGCCTTGCTCCTAGTGCATAGTGTTCTTCTCCACAGTAGGATGGAGCTGATCTGCAAAGAACCACAGAGGCTCAAGGTTGTGTGAGCAGCAGATAACCTGACTGTGACTTCCTATGGATTACTGGACCCTAGAGCTGGAATGAGCTTTATCTTGTGAGTCTGCAGCATGGTGTAGACACAGAATAGTTAATGTGCAATTTATCTGTTGTTTAGACTGTGCAGATGAAGGGCTGGAGGTATGCGAAGGTTAAGGACTGGGCCAAGGTTTAGTGTTGACTCATTTTATTGGGCTATTGAACTTTATCAAGGAGATTACAACATAAATTTTTCCTATTATGTGCTCCCAGTAAAATGACAGTGTAGAATTACTGCCTTCTAAAGAGGTTCATGTTCTTCCTGGAGATGAGCCTCAAATGTAGCTTTGCTATCATGTAACACGCATCCTTAAATTTTCCCCAGATTAAAATAAACTGAATTCAGAGGACGTTCAGATTCGGAATGGAAACAGCTCTTTTACCAGCGCCCTTCTTTGATCCCAGTAATCACGCAGCCATTCAGCTTTATGACCTCCTTGCTTTGCTCTGGCTTGTGAAATTCCAGAGTGACACATCCCAGTAGCCCCAGAGCGTGGCTGTGTGGCCAGAGGGCTGCTTCTCCTTTTGTTCAATGTCAGAAGCATTTATTTCAAGATCCAGTTAAAATTCTTCTCCTTTCAAAGCCCTTCAGGGAACAGTTTCTTTCTGTTCAGAACTTGTTTGTTTCACTTCTCTCCAGCCAACCCCTGGTTTGTATGATTTGTTTCCCATTTCTTTGTAAGGACTGAAGTGGTAGGGAGAGGCAGGCCAGAGAGCCTCTGACCTCGCCAGCCTTCCTTCATGTTGCGCATGTGGTGATTTCTCTGTCTTTGGAGTTTAGACCCAAATAAAACACCATTTTTCCATGACCACTAATTATTTTGTTAGATGGTATCGTTTCAATGCCTCTATGACTATGGTAAATATCTTCAGTATGAGAGAAACAAAATGAAGTAAACAAGGACTGAAGAGTGTGTGGAGATAGATAAAGGGTTCACAAAGCAAACACTGTGGAGGAGAGAAGTGGAAAGACCATAATATCATCACTACTTTCTTTCAAATACCTTAATAAAAGAGAATCTCATTAATGCTGCCCATAGCTATCCCAGGGTCCAGTTGTAACAATGCTGAAAATAATCAAATCAAAGCTTTTTCAACCTAATGATAATTATTGATGTTAGGACTCTAATATAGAGGAGAAAAAAAATGAGCTATTTTCATTAAGAGGATCTTTATTGATAATGTAACACTAAGAACAGAATATTGTTTTTATTTAGGTAAATAGCTTGACTAGAGAAGAACCATTTGTAGGTGTGAGACATGAGGGTGGCTACTTGTAATCCTAACACTCATGAGGCTGAAGCAGAAGGATTAGAAGTTCAAGACCAGCAGGACTTGCAGTTCAAGACTGTCTCATAACTAAACTGTAGGCACAGCCATAATGAAATGCGTTATATTTCCATACCACCATACCCACAAGATGATTGATGCCAATTGTATAAGCTGACGAGATGACCGCTCCATGTATAGTTAAAGGGAAAGTTATTATTGTAAATATAAAAGAGAGGTAAGCCAGAGGCATCTGGAAGAGTCCAGGGCAGGAAAAGAAGTAGACTGAACATGGCCATCGGACTGAGTATCGCCAGGACTATCTGTGACAGAGGGCAGACGAGCAGGGGATAGAGAACAGAGAAAACATAATGAGAGAGACAGGAGAAGAGAGACAGAGCGAGGGGCGTGGAGCAGGAATGGCAGGGTTATAAGGAGGAGCAGCTGTGGGGAGGGAAGCTCCTCAGCTGGAGACAGCTTAAGGTAGGCGAGGAAGTGAGAAGGAAGAGGATGCTGAGTAGAACCTGAATAAGATACTGAGAGAGGCTGGAGGTCACCATGAACTTTGATAAGTGATAGGAGCCACAGGTCCCTCTGCCAGATGGAAGGGAAATGACTCATATTGGCAGATGCGAACCAGTTTCACAAGTTCCTGAGGAATGCTGGCTTTTATCTAACTGCCAGAAATTCTCCTTTATCTCAGGTGGATCTCATCTCTTGATATTTCAACTGCCTCTTGGAGTTTGGGGAAATTGGCATTTCTTTGGATCAGAAGCAATTTGGCAGAAATCACTTTGATCAAAGTATCAGCTAGCGTTTACCGGTAATGAGACCTCATAGCTCCTCATAAGATACGATGGAAATAATATAAAAGTACTGCTATGGTATGGTTACAAAACTGTGTAGAACAAAAGGATGAAGAAATACTGGACTGGTAAACCTCAGAGTGAGGTTCAGCCTGCCGGAGGCCGCTGCGGTGCGGAGACCCCCGGAGAAGCCACCGTCACCATGTCTGATCAGGAGGCAAAACCTTCAACTGAGGACTTAGGGGATAAGAAGGAAGGAGAATACATTAAGCTCAAAGTTATTGGACAGGATAGCAGTGAGATACATTTCAAAGTGAAAATGACAACACATCTCAAGAAACTCAAGGAGTCATACTGTCAAAGACAGGGAGTTCCAATGAATTCACTCAGGTTTCTATTTGAAGGTCAGAGAATTGCTGATAACCATACTCCAAAAGAACTGGGAATGGAGGAAGAAGATGTGATTGAAGTTTATCAGGAACAAACGGGGGGTCATTCAAGGGTTTAGATAATTCTTTTTATTTTTTTCCTTTTCCCTTAATCCTTTTTTATTTTTAAAAATAGTTCTTTTGTAATGTGGTGTTCAAAATGAAAATTGAATACTGGCACTCCATCTCTTTAGAACATCTGGTAATTTGAATTCTAGTGTTCAATATTCATTATTGGTTGTTTTTGTTGTGCTGATTTTTGGTGATCAGACCTCAGCTCCCTTAATATTGCCCTTCATATTTTAAACAATTTCATATGTGCACAGAGAGGCCACCCTTTTCAGGACTGTGCATTTTCAAGTTTGTGATGATAAAAAGATGGACCAGTGGGAGCTTTCCTATGACCTTCCAGTTGGCCCTGAAGTTCCAGCATGCAGTTGCTTCACGCCTGGACCGTGGTTTTCAGTGGGAGATGGAAGGCCTTCAGAGACCTGAACTGTGGGAAAATGACCTTTCCTCAGCTTGAAGCTACTTTTAAAATTTGAGGGTCTGGACCAAAAGAAGAGCATCACGTTTGTAGTCAAGATGACAGTGAGAGTGACAGCTAACTCCAGGATGGCTTCACCGGAGAGAAGAGTAAGGCAGGCTGTCTGAAGATCCCAGGAAGGCTGTAATTTCCATCAGCAGTTAGTAGGAAAGTTACTCTTGCAGAAGTGTACGCAACAGACACTGCTCCTTTTGATTCTGTTTGTAGTTTTTGGCCTGGGACATGGGTTTTCAAGGGACATCGTCTGTACCAGCTTCATTAAAATAAACAATATTTGTAAAAACAGTAAAAAAAAAGAAATACTGGACTAATACATGGCGAAGAACAATATGTAAGATTACTAAACAATTTTAATCCAAAAGATCCATATTTAAAAAGTCAAGAAGTCAATATACTGTCCCATTTGAAGGGGTGCTAAGGAGAATAGCTAAGTGCAATATATAAAACTAGGGCAAAACTTGGTCTGTAAAAGAGCATTAATGAAATAAATGGTGAAATATGAATAATGTAATTCTGTCAGGAAAATATTGCCTAGGGTTACAGGAATGGATTCTTTCCCTCTGCCAATTTAAAGAATGAAAGGACAGGGAAAGCAAGGTCTCAGCATTCAGCCAAGTTTTACTGAGTATAAGAGCATACACCTGCGCACACACACACACACACACACACACACACACACACACACACACACCAAACACAGAGAATCAGGAAACAAAAAAGAGATGGACTCTCCAGGGTGGGCAGCAAGGACGAAGAAATAGTGCCTGAGTCTATTGTTTGTTTGAGGACGCCATGAGTTCCTTTTACCATTAGCACTGGCCAGTGTGGGTTACTGCAGTGGACCAGATAATCTGAACAAGACAAGGAACTGAGTGGTTTCTAGCCCAACGGTCCACTTGTAGGAGGTTAGAAGTTCCTACTGAGCAGTTCCTTGCAGTGGGGAAAAGGAGCCACCAAGCTTTTGTCATATAGGAGAACCTGGATAGATGATCAATGGAAAGTATATGAACCTACATACAGACTCTTTTCTCTGTCTGTCTGCATCCCAGGCATCTGCCTGACTTCTAGTCCCTCACTATGTAGATCAGTTACAACATCGCTTTTGACATTGTCTCTGTAGCATATTGTCTGAAACATCAGGGTGAAAGACCTATGGGAAATATTTATCATATTTTTGGACCTTTTTGTAAGTTCAAAATTATTGAAAATAAAAGTAATTAAGAGCCATGATGATGATGATTATGATGATAAAAAACAAAAGCCTTTATGAGGACATATGATCTTTATGAAGTATTCAAATATTCAAAGATAAATTCAGGCTATCCAAACAAAACTTTGAAGCACTTCTTATGTTATTGTTCAAAAAGTGAATAAGTCTGTAGTCACCAAGACATAAATGTTTTGATATGAATTTAAGGGAAGAAGTTTATAGAGCTTATGAAGCAATTGTAGAACTATAATAGTCCTAGATAATACTTGGTAAGACTGCCATGTTTAGTCTGAAATTATTTCATTTTCTATATTTAACATCAAATTAGATAATTAAAAAGTGTACTTGCGTATAAAAATAAAATAAAATATTTAATTCCTTATAATTAACAGCAAAAGATTATTGACTCTTTATTTTTTTCCTTTACTATATCTCTTTTTAAAGTAGAAATACATTCAATGAGAAAGAGAAAGCAAAGAAGCCTCTCAGAGATATAGGTAAATGGATATATAGGTGGATGGATGGATAGATGGCTAGGCAGATGGATGGATGGAAAGATATTCAAAGTACAATGGCATAGTTCGTCTAGATGGGAAAGTTGTAGCTTTAGCATTTTTACCTTATTTAAAAGAACAATAGTAAACTATTTTTAATGAGAAAAAGACTATGAATTGTTTTAAAAGTTGATAGATAATACAGAAGCTAAAATTGAAAAAGTTTTGCAATTAAGTTATAAGCAAGACCGATTTTTGTTGTTGTTGCTTTTTTAAATAAGTAGTTTGGTCTTGCAAACTTATAAGAGCTATTTAATTATTCTTTTTATTAAATGTAATTTAAACTTTTTGGCAGTTTTTACCTGCTTCACATGCCTTTTAAAATGTGTCATGACGATTACAGTCACTTAAATTCATTTTAATTGGTACACGAGAACTCTGTATTTGCATCAATATCTTGTAATACATAAAAAGTGTAGTGTTTAAATCAGGGTAAACATTCCTAACTCTTCAAACTCTGCATCTCTGAGATGAGTGATCCACTACCATTCCTAGCTCTCCCACAAGCCTTTCAGTGCTCCCTAGTGTGACCCAGCACTCACTCACCAGTCCTTCTCCATGTTGCCTTCCTGACTACTTCCCCAGTCTCTGATTCCCACCCCTCTCCTGTGACTTGAACTTTTTGGGATTCTCACCCATCGTTAATACTTGTCTGTGGTGTTATTTCTTAATCTACATTTCCCTTCTGATTCTCCAAACTTTAGACCTTAACCTTCAAAGTTTTTTTTTTTTAAACTTCATGAAGATAACCCTGAAAAGTTTGCTGTCAATAGCTGAAATTTGTCCGTTTTCACTCACTTTTAATATACCTGTCCCCATGGGGTGACATGGGTATCTCTTTCCTTGCTTCTGAAGATAGGTGAAGCCAAGATCAGAGTTGATTTCTTTAAGTCCTGGATGTCTCTGCTTCTGTTCTCATGGAACATTTCCTTGCTGAGTTGAAATCAGCACACAGGGCAGTGAAGACTCCTTGCTGTGTACATGGAGTTAATATAGAGACTCAGTGACAATACATAGAGAAACCAAATGAGCATCAAGATGTCAGACACATGAACATGTTTCTTGGGGATCTACACTCTGGCCCAGAAGATCCCAGGAGGCTGTAGAGAAGCCTATGGGGTATTTTCTAAGTGATTGATGGAGAAGGGACAAGTTCATTATGTTTGTGGCCACCATGGGCTAGTGGTCCTGGGTTGTACAAGAGAACAGCTAGAGAAAGCCAGAAAGCAGGACTCTTCTGTTTCCTCTGCATCTGTTCCTGCCTCCAGGATTCCCTCCTGGTTAACTTCCTATCCTGACTTTCTCCATTGAGGAACATGATATGAAAGTATATCCAAATAAACCATTTCATCCCCAAGTCATTTTTGGTCGTGGTGTTTCATCACAGCAACAGTAACCCTGACTAAGACAGGCCTTACTATTCTAATATTTAATGTCATTCGGGGAATATTTCCTTTCTCCACCTTTGCCATTAGCCAGCACTCACCCGTCTTCCCATGATTTACTTTATACATTTCTCTTTCTTGCCACTTAATTTTGTTCAAGTGTAGTTGTGTTTTCTAATTGTGTCATTTTAAAATCTTCATTCTATTAAAATGTAAAGTACTGTAACCAAAACAGAGCATCCAATCTAACCCTAGGAATAACAGTAGCAAATGCATGTGGAATATTAACCTCTTCCTTCCCCACTAACATTAATTCCTCACTCTGAGCAGCATTGTTATAGCTAAGGAACATTTGTTGTGCCTGCATTGTCTAATTCAACACGTGCTTTCAGTGTGGCAGTTTTTAATGTCATAAAAGTAGCTTCATGCTATGTGTTGTCTGCAACACACATTTTGTTGAGAAGTATCCACAGGTCCCTGTGAGTGGAGTTGAATTTTTCTTGGTGCTATGAAGTTTCATTACAGACAAATCTTAATGTGTATTTCCTGTCTGCCCCCAGTGAGGATTTACAACTGTTTGTAGATTAGTTACTTCTTCAGGAACTGAAGCCCACTGCACACGAGTTCTGGAATTCTGTACTTATTATCATTTGTTAGTTAAGTATTGTCAATTTTCTGGCTTTAAAAAAATCATGCTTTCTTGGTTCTTTTCTTTCGCCTCTAGCTCTTAGGAGTGGATGTCTGGAAAAATAATTTCAAGATTTTTACATTCTGATGCTAAGTTTGGCAGAAGTGGAAAATCTAATCCAAGACAAAACCCAGGAAATTTGATAGGTAGAATCAAAATCTTAAAACTGGATTGGCATGGTGAATTCAAAATATCAGTTAGACTTATTGTGGTTTGGAGTGTCTAATCCTTCAGCTTCTGAGAATAAGCAAAGAGGAATAGCCGGGCAGAGGATTACTCTAATGCCTGCGAATTACTTATTCAGAAAATTTTATATTCTGATTAATCAATCATGTGAAGAAGCAATTCAGTTTTTCCAAGTCTTTTTTTAAAAATGGAATTGGTCCTTTTCCTTCCTGTTGCTAGTGTCTGTGAAGTTCTGAATGATAAGGATGTAGCATCAGTTCAAATTCAGAGATGCTGAAGACAGAAACACGTCTCCTTTCTAAACCATCACTTGGCTAGTAATCGAGAACTTTCAGAGCTTGGAACTCTGACAGGCCAAAGTCATTGAAATATTCATTAATTCAGCTCCTAAGATCCTTTCAGCTCTGTGTTTACGCCAGGCAACTTTAATTTTCTATTTTCAAAAAGTAGGACTTTCCACTGCTTTGTGTTTGTTCATTCTGGACTACACTGTGCCTCTAGTCTCCCCTTAAGGAAGTGTATGAGGCACCCTGTCAGTTAACTAAGAGACTAAGAGACGTGCAAAGATGGGGGGGGGATATTCTGACTAGAGTCTGTGAGATTCACTATTTATTGGATATAAAATATTAATTTTTCAACTATCTAGAGATTTGGGCAACCAGAGATAATAGATAAAATTATCTTCTGAGGAAAATACATAATCATATAAGAGAAATCAAACTGTAAAGGCAATATTCAAGACTCTCAAGAAGTATAGACTGAAGCTCAGAAAAGGCAAACCCTGAAGGCTTGCTTCTTTCTTCTTTAGGTCTAATGTCATGCTGTCGCTACTGGACTGCCTGTTCCTTCCATTGTTTTATCTTATGCGACCTTAGTGTTGGTTGTAGAACAGGGCATGAGAAGAAAAGACATTTTACTCAAGTCTCTGTAGACAGAGGTTTCCTGTGCCATGGCCATTCCAAAATAACTACTCAGAAACTTCATTGTAAATGCTTGCCTGATAACTCACACTTGTTACTAGCTAACTCTTACATTTTAAATTAACCCATATTTGTTGTCTATGTTCTAGCACATGGCTCATGGCTCGCTACCTCACTTTGTACATGTCCTGTTCCTCTGCATCTTGCTGACAATGCTTCTGGGTCCACCCTTCTTCCCCCCGTTGTGCTAGGCTGCCTCTTCTGCCTAACTTTATTCTGACCAGCGATTGGCCAGTTGGCTCTTTATTAACCAAATAGTTAATATATATTCATACCATACTGAAGGA